TTATCTGTTTAGGTGTCTGACACCCAGCTAGGCCTTGGGTATCCTAGTCGACAAATGCACCTCACATGTTTTATCATCCACAGTCCCTAACCTTCAAAGAGTTATCAATCCATGTTCAAGATAGTTAGGATCCCAGCTACCAGTTTCTTTCACTCAAAGATGGACTATAAAAATTGATGGCACTATCAGAGAAACCTTGGCCATTTAGGACACAGGAAAACTTTTTGGCTTTAAGTTAGCTATATCCATTTGGATGCTTCTTAATTTGCCTGAATACATCTATAGCTTAAACTGTAATTTAATCAAGTTTGATATATGTATCTCTGCACAATACATGGGTTTCAGTTTTCCTGTTCTGAGCCCCTGGAGAGCAGAGACCAGGTGTTACTCACCTGTGTGCCAGGAAAATGTTCAATAAATCTTTGTTAAGTTGAATTCCCAAAATGAGTTCTGTCTTACTTTGGGCTGCTATAACAGAATACTGCAGGCCAGGTAACTTTAATAACAAATACTTCTCACAGTTCTAGAAGGTGCAGCCTAAGATCGAGGTGTTAGCATATTAGTGTTTAGTGAGGGCCCTATGTCTGGCTTGCAGATGGTCATCCTCTTGCTGTATCTGAACGTGGAGGAGAGAGAGAGGGCTACTGTCTCTTCTCTTCTAATTAGGATGCTAACCCCAACATGAGGGCTTCACCCTCATGGCCTCATCTAAACCTAATTACCTCTCAAAGGCCCCAGTTCCAAATAACTTCACACTGGGAATTAGGGCTTTAACATATGACTATTTGCAGGGGGAGGTTGCAGAGGGGTGAGGGGCACACAAACATTCAGTCTGTAGCAAGTTGCCACACTGATATTTTGGCCACATTTTTTAATAAGCCATTTGTATGTTGCAAGGAAACAAAGATAAATTCAACTCAATTTTCAGAAAAGACTCAGAGAGGGAAAAAACTTTCCTTGACAAAATGCCTCCAATAACAGAAGCACATTCTTCAAATTAAATCTCTGAAGCAGCCACCATTCTATTGGGCAAGTTAGTTTATAGACAAGTTAGTTTTGACTGGGGACCAGAGCTAATGCCCATCTCTACCCTCATGCAGATGGTTACTGGTTTATCTAAATACACCTCCAGGAAGGCAAAGGACACAACGCTTCATCTCCTTCTCCAGACTCACTCATGCAAAGGGACAAATTACAACTAAGAAGCTTCCTGATTCTTCTTTCATCTCAAAAATAAAATGTACAGAATTTCAAGGAAAAAATGAATCCTACATGAACACAAAACATTTCACCACTTTACAAACACTTTTGGATGGGGGAAGAAAGTTGAGCAGCTTTGCACATTAAAATTAATGAAGTGCTAAAGGAATGAAAGAATGTCCAGATTTCAAATTACCAGAGCACTAATTTCTAGGTTTTTCTTGAAATGGGGGCAAACCATGGGATTGATGTGAGCATATCTTCTCCCTAAACATTTGAAAGTGAAACATTTTTATTAATAAAAAGTAGGAGGAGGAGTTGAAAGAAAACTGGGCAGGGGCTTTGCATGTAATTCTAAAATATTTGCCATTTGGTTCATTTTGGAAGTTTACATATAACTAGACTTGAAGTTGAATGCCACACAAGAAGTTCCTGGCCAGTTTTCTCCCTTACCCACCTTGTCATTTTTAGGAATCTGACATCTGTAGGTGAGAGACAATTTCTAACACCACTTGAAAACCACCGTATGATCAGGCTTCAGGCTTTCCCCCACAAACACTGGAAGTCCTGGCTTCTTTCCTCTTAAATCTGTTTTCACAGGTCCTCATTTGTAATATTACTTTCCTTCTTCTCCCCTTTCTCTTCAATTTCCATCTTCTTCCTTTTTCCCCTTCTCGCAACTGCTTCTTAAGGTTCCCATTTCCCTTATAACCTCTGAAACAGCCACCATTCTTACCAGGCAAGCTAGTGTACAGGCAAGTTAGTTTTGACTGGGAAACTCTGAATGATAAAACACCCTACCCTGAAGATTTTTAACTGTAAACTATGCCTTTTATTGCATAGCCTAGTATCACTAATAAAGTTCAATCTTATCCAAATAGCACACATTCTAAATTTAAAAATAAATATTACACTGCTGGTTCAGCTGTCCAGATGAAATCAGATATCAGATCATAATCGTATATAAAATTTTCCTAATAAGAAGTATCTTGAAATACAAAGAGACTGTGTTTTTTCCTCTGATTGGCACGCCCTGCTTGTATTATGCAATCCTCTGAGTTTCAACTTTGCACAGAAACTCATAGGTTGAAATATGAGCTATATATTCCCCTTTGCTGTCTGATTTTCCATCTTTTATCCAAATGTTAAAATAAATTCCCTTTTTTTCCCCATCCTCTTTGTCACTATTATTCCATGTGCCTATATTGCCAGAAAAGAAGGAAAGAGATCATTACAATGGAATCTACTGATAGCTCCTGAGGATCCTGTATGAAATATAAACACTCTTCTAGAGAAAGGTTTTTCATGCTGGGTTATATTTCACTAGTGATGATTTCACTAGTTATGTCTCACTTACTCTGTGATGTCTCCATAGCTGCTTCTGTCACTATCTAAAAGACTGAGTTTTTCTCCCCCAGGGAAAGTTATACGTACTTGAGTTCTGATTTCCAGTCTCTTCATATCTATATCCCCAAATCTGCCAAACTGTCAGCTGGATCTCACTATGGATCTCACTAGAAAAAACCAGATGTGATCTGTACTGTATATGCAGGCAATTAGTCTACAGACTCCAGAAAGGTTCGGGCTAACACAACGTAAGTCTGACCCTTCCAGAATCTTCTCTATGTGCTCTTTCAGGACAGAGCCTTATCAAGCTGAAGAGCTGACTGCATCCCAGAATGCACAAAGCCCTAAATTTATATTTCACATTTCTATTTAGTTGTAGTTATCACCTTTATTACCACCTACTGGGCTCATTAGTCAATTTATCATGAATTCTTCATTGGAAAGCACACATTATCATGTGAGGTAGAAAAAAAAACTCATAACAAAATATCAATCCATTCACTCTTAACAAAAACAAATAAGCTTAATGATAAAGATATCACTTAAAGCTAATATTTTAGCATTAATTTGTAAGTGGGATTTATAGTGAATTTTTTAAAGTAGGTTTTTGATGTTGGATTCCAAACTAGTATTTAGATACTAAACAGTTTTAGTATTAAGAAAGTAAAGCATGCCAGTGAAATAAGGCAGGTGGAGAAAGACAAGTATCAAATGATTTCTCTCATTTGTGGAGTATAACAACAAAGCAGAACTGAAGGAACAAAACAGCAGCAGACTCATGGACTCCAAGAAGGGACTAGCAGTTACCAAAGGGGAGAGGTTGTGGAGGATGGGTGGGGAGGGAGGGATAAGGGGATTAAGGGTTATTATGATTAGCACACATAATGTATGGGGGTCACAGGAAGGTAGTACAGCACAGAGAAGACAGTAGTGACTCTAGCATCTTACTACTGATGGACAGTGACTGCAATGGGGTGTTGCGGGGGACTTGACAATATGGGTGAATGTAGTAACCACAATGTTGCTCATGTGAAACCTTCATAAGACTGTATATCAATGGATATCTTTATAAAAAAATTAAAATTTAAAAAAAGAAAGTAAAGCATGTTCACATTTGTTTTGTCCTATGTTTTCACAGCACTTATGAGTTGGAGATAATAATGTGTGACTCCATTTTAACACGTGGAAAATGGGTTTCATAATGATGCATACAGGGGAAGTCTGTGGCTTGATGCATTCACCACTGGCCAACACTGAATTAACACCACTGGAGCAAATTTCTCCTGCTGCCCAGCTCCAAACACATTCATTAATTTTCTGAATTATAGATAAGATAAGCATCATTGCCAACCAAAAATAAAATGTGAATAATGCCAATTCCTTTGGCATAAGTATCATTAGGGACATTGTGACCAAGGAAGGTCTGGTCTGATATGCAAAAGAGCTTATCTTTCTCTTAACAGTAACATTCAAGTACACATTTGAAAGCCAAAAATATAAGTAATGAAGATTTAGAAGAAAGAAGCAATCAGTAGTATACATGAAATGTTTTTCAATGTCCCTTACTTTGGAACAGATAATAATCTTGTATCTAAAATTTTTCTCTTTGCCAGAAAAATGATTAAGAAGAAAAGGTTTTTCACTTCACTAAAATGAAAACTTGCAAGTTTAGCAAACTCCACAAAGGGTAGATAAAATAATCTCTAGTTTTTGACCCTCTATACCATATAAAATTTTTTGACAAGATTGAATTTTATTGCCTAGTGAAGTTACACTTATGAAAAATATGTATCTGCCCATAATAAGTAAGAGAACAAAAACACTCAAAGAGTAAAGACACATTTTCCAGAAACAAAATACTACAGGAAGGAGAGAAATTTGGCCTTCTTCCTAAAACTGAGTGGTTCTCAAACCTTTAACGTGCACTGGAACCGTCTAGATGACTTGAGACAAATTGTTGGGCCTCACCCCAGAGAATCGGACTCAGTAGTTCTGGGATGGGGCCTGAGAATTTAACACTGTAACAAGTTTCCAAGCAGGATGCCGATGCCTCTAGTCTGGGATGACACTTTGGGAGCCACTGCTTCAGCTTAGTTGCTTACTCAGTCACTTAATCTACTTCATCTAATCTTTGTCAGTGAATACGTTGTGTTTTTGTGCCAGTTAGTGTTTCTGCTGACAAACAAGATCACTTCTTAATTAAAGCATTACCTCAGAATATCTGCCATCTCCAAGAGGCACACCACTTTTTAGAGCATCACAGTCTTGCGGATATTTAATACATGAAAGTGAAAATATTGTTATATATGTATAATACCTTTAGTTCTTAATGTAAAAATTTGACAGTAAAAGAGTAAGATGAATAAAGTATTTGAAGACTCATTGATAGCTAGGACTTCTGACATGATGTTAAAAACAATAAATCATGAATACAAAGGGGTCTCAGGACTTACCTGTGACTGGTGCATCGATATCCAGCAAATTTTTTTCCTGTCGGAGAATTGAAGCCCCCTCTGTTATTATTCTCAATGCAACACTCTCTTCCAGCCTGCCCTCCTTCATGAGATGTGCCTTTAAGATATCCACACGAGGCTTCCCATCATTATCAAACACTTCTTTTGCTGTAAGCCGGTGACTTGGAGGAAATGGGACAGCTGAAAGAGAAAAAGTCAAATATTACATTAGTCAAAACTCAACAATAATGACCCAATAAGAACCACCAAATATCTGCCTAGCTATCACTAACCACCTGGTAGAGTATTTAAACAGTTCCTACATTAAAATACAATCAAGGGCTGTCAAGAATTCATACTGCCTTCTTCCTTTGCTGCTAGATGTAATGTGAATGCTGAAAAAAAAAATTACAGACTTATTCATCCAGTACCTATCTCTTGCATTTAGAAGATCCTGAATGAGTTAATACAGAAAAAAGAGACAGATATGTTTCTGACAGGCAATAATCAATTTCAGCAAAAGAAAATAGTTCTTATACATCCAACTATAACCGACTTGGGAGAAGATATTTCTCTACTAGAAAGCAGACTCCTGGTCTGGGATTAGAAAAATGGGAAGAGGTCTGCCAGACCCGTTTTGCCCCCTCCAACCACAGTCACATCTCTGAGTAAACTGACTGACTCACTGTTTAATGAGAAAGCAGGAATCTGAGAGCAAAAAGGCAAATACACTTATTATTGAACAGGAAGTCAGGATTTCTGTGTGCATGCACTGAAGGAACACCTTCAGCTGTGAGAGAACAGTATAATATTAGGGGAAGAGACACAGATATGTAGGAATATGATACAGTGACAAACTCCACTTGTTGCTCAGACTTATCATACATATAAACAACTTATTACATATAACCAGACTTATTACATAATATAGCTAACTATTCTTTCTCCCCCACCCCCCATACCTTCTTGATAGTAAGAAACTCTCTGGTGCTACTGGCATTCTTCAGTCTGTGAATACAGTGGTTCATTTATTCAGCCAGGGGATATTCACTAAACTCCCACAAGGTGCCAGGACAGCCAAAGGTTCCAGAGACAGAGATGTATCATAAAGATAAATTTCCAGTGAATGGCCAGTAAGCCCCTTCAGTGAGGGAAATCCATTTTTTTCTGTTTCACAAGGGTTCATTTGCTGAACAACTTGTGCTCCTTTGGAAGGGGCACAAACACAGTATCATGAAGCTTTGATCTGCCATGTGCCTTATGCCCTATGCATAAGAACATTTTCATTTGATGGTTCCTCTCTTGTGAAGAACACTTGATGTTAAGGAATAAATCCGGCCCCCCTAGTTCCTAAAACTATCTCCTATAGAAGCGGGATTGATGGTAGACCAACGCCAAGAAATTCTGTGCAATCTAACAGCACAGGTTTGTTATCCAAGAGAAAGTATAACTACTTAAGAAGAAAAGAAATACCAGGAAATGAACCTGTACTAATGGATGCAAGCTTGGTTTTCCTAATAATCCAAGCATACGTACTTAACTATGCTGCCAAAATGAAGTGGCAGGAGCAGACTCAGTGGATGAGCATGAGGCTATGTGGTCAAACCAAGGCTCTGCACACGCACCTGTCAGGTGACCCTGAGTGAGTTAATAACCCCCTTTGGCTCCCAAAGTTACCTCACCTGTAAAGTGGGGACTATATCTACCTAAGGATTGTTATAATAACTGAAGTACACAGTAATAGTGGGAGCAACATTTATAGAGTGTTTATTTTACACCAGGTATTGTTTGGGTAATAAAGTCAGTAACAGCTGTAAGATGAGTAAGACATATATACAGGGGTTTATATATATAAATTTAATTCCCATAACATTACTGTAAGGGAGAAACTTAAGGCTCAAAAGTATTAAGCACCTTGTCCAAAATAATCTTCTAGAGATTTATATATAGACCCACTGAGTGTAAACTCCAGCAGTCTGATCTAGAATACCTGTGTCAACAACTACACACACTGCTTCCCAGAAAGTACTTAAGACAGTGCTTAACAATTAAAAAGTGATGAGTATATCACTTTTTAGAATTGAAATTCTAACAAATACTGAGAAGTGTCTCTTATAAAGACAGCAGTTATTTTCAAATTGATTTGGGGCAGTTTACAGCAGAACAGGCATATAATACAAAAACATGATATAAAATAAAAGACAAAATGCACAATGACAAAGCATAGTGTAAAATAAAAGAAAATCCAAGAATTAAACAAGGAAGAGAAAAAAGGAAATTAGGTATTAGACTTTGGCAATGGGAATTATTTTGTTCGTTTTGTTTCTTTGTCCTCTTCCGCTTTTGCTTCACTAACATACATGCTTGTTAACAAAACATGGAAACACTTCCATGGCCACATGTCTTTACTTGGGTCTTTATGTATGGTTTGAAATTAGAAAGTATCTTACCTGGCAACTCCTCAAAACTCCCAGATATAGGGTGGAAAATAGAAAGGGGGAAACTTCAAAAGGATACTTTGGGTAAGGCCAAGAGCTGAATCTTTCTGAGTGATTTTCCAAGATACGAGTTGGACAATTAGGAAGGCTTAGGTGACTGCAGAACAGGCAAGAATTGAAGCATAGATGAAAAGGAGGCTGATTTATTGTTGAGCATATAAAAGCAGTGGGTCTCTCCAACCACACACTAGCTGGCCTTACTAAACTTAAGATAGATCAGAGGGTTAAACCTAAAAGAGCTGAAGCACTTAAGAAAGTGAGAAGCAAAGAAGAACACCTCCGGGAGAGCATCACCTTCATGAATTAGACTCTCTCCAAGGCCAAGATTATGGCAGCAACAGATGCTTCACCCTTTGCTGCCTACCTTTTACCTTCCAGTAATTGCTAATCCTAAGGTAACTGGCTAAGGAAAGCCACCTGCTCTGAGATATTGGAGCTAGTTCCAAATAAACAGGAGTGAGCAAAGAGGAAAAAGGCCAAGCAGAGGGACCTATTTCCAAATGGATGACAGGGATACTGATGAGATGGGCACTTTTCCAGTGAGGCAGATGGTAAGGCTTGCAGGGAACCAAGATGGGCGGCAATGGTGCCAATGATTGAACACAAAGATGCTGTCAGCAAGAGAGAAGCTTTCTGGGACAAAAATAAGAGTGGGCTAATATTTGTGTATTTGTGCTCCCTTTGGCTTCATAAAGAAAATATCAGCTTTACAAAGGTCACATTTATTTGCTTTCTCTCTGTTCACCTACAGTCCTACATGTAGACCTGTGCCACGTATTGAGCAAAAATTACTTAGACCAAAGATTACAAAGTGTTTAGAGTGAAGAATTTCTTTCATTAACTTGGGAAAGTGGCTACGCTTGACATAATAAAGTTGGATTTCCCTTTTCCTCCTTTGCTTTGAGTATTACAAATTGTTTTCCTTGACACATGAGCCGGCTTAGGACTGGAGGAATTGAGTTTGTTCATGCTAATAAAAATTCAGAAACAGCTGTTGATATTTGGGCTGACTCCTTCTAAAACATTTTGTAATTACCTATGAAGTACGGAATATAATAGACTTCTTAGATGCATCCTAAAAAATATGGAAAACCTCTCAGCTTTCTCCACTTCAAAGTTCTCACTCAATGTCACTCATTTTCTTCTTAAATGCAACCACAAAGTAGCTAAAATTTTGAAAATGTATGGCCTCGACTGACTGCTAACCCAAACCACGAAGAAAGCTTCGAAAGTAAATGACATACTGAAGTAGGATCATGTTCCCAGGTCACTGACTGTGGAACTCTAGCAGAGGCTGATTTCCAAAGAACAGGCTATCATACTGTTTCTTTTCTATTTGTTGATGCCACCGGAGAGTTCATCTATCTGATAAAGAGAAAGGTTACTAGTCTGGAAACCAAAATCATGTGTGAGTATTGCCATGTATATAACAATTACTGAAGTTGTCAATTATGCCTTTATCAGTAGAGAATCACATTCCAAGTCAGAAAAGTCTGGTAGCCAGAGTAATCCCAGTCATCAGTTTGGCTGACTATGGGGGACCATACCTCAGAAAGAGTCAGGAGTCTCCTGCAGCGATTTGAGCTAGCCCAGTTTTAAAGGGCCATTATGTGCCTTAGTAGGCATAGTGCTCCGCTATCACTCCGTGGTAAAGCTAGCTAGGTACCTGAGATTTCTGCTCCTCAAACCTGAGCCCTTTGAGCCCTCCTGAAGGGATTAATACTGCTTGATAGGAAGTCAACAAAAGTGATTATGGTGGTGATACCTTCAGCAGAGGGCAGAACAGGGTGCCTGCTGCCTGATTGCCCGAAGTTGTCTTATAAATGATGACGAGAGAGACTCACATACCTAAGAAATATCTAGCAATATTTTTATCAACCTTTGTTTTCCTTAAAAAAAAAATTTTTTTTTCCCTCCAACAATATGACACCTGGAAATTCAAGTATATCCAACAAAAAAAGGGACTAAGGCATCTTGCTCTCCTCTCTTCCTTACGGTGGCTGTTAAGGCATACCCACAAAATCCTGGGGCTTTTTAGAGCAAAATCAGAAAACTCCCAGTTTACACTGACTCCTGACTCCCTCATAATACACTAGGGGAATCTGAAGTCCAGAATGAGGATAAAAGTGAATTGTCCAGGGTCACAGGATTAGTCAGTGGCAAAATCAACACTAAGCTTTTGGACTCTGTTTGTATTTCAGCACTTCACCCACTAGATGTTCTGTGTCCAGGATGGATTAACTAGCAATGTACAGCTATTAAACACTTGAAAAGTGGCTAGTCCAAACTGAGATGCACTGTAAGTCTACAGTATGCACTTGATTTAGAATGCTAGATACAAGAAAAAAAAGAAGAATGTAAAATATCTCATAAATATTTTTGTATTGATCATATGTTGAAATACTAAGATTTAGAATGTATCAGGCTAAATAAAATTTATTATTAAAATTAATCCCATCTATTCCTCCTTACTCATTCATTTAACATGGCTACCAGAACATTTAAAAATGAATAGTTGGCTTGTACTAGGCTATTACTGGACAGTGATGCGTCCTTCTCAACAAGTAAATGAGAACAAGAGTGGAAATTATATACTTTAATCTTTTCTCTTCCAACTTTGGCTCCTACTAAACTGCAAACTGTCTCAAAACTGGCTGTACACTGGAATCACTTTTAAAAATGAATAATGACCAGATCTGACCT